GTAGTGAAAATATTATTGATATCTATTGATCTATAATGATCTCTAGATTTTGATGGGAGATGTCATTCTGTAAATATGTTTCTCATATTGGTTAATAAATTGGTTAATAAATAAAGCTGTTGGCCAATAGGAAAGCAAGATAGGTGGGACTAGGAGACGAGGAGAGAGGAAGTAGGAAGGAGGAGATTCAAGATGGTGGACTTAGAGAAGAATGTTGGGGCCTCTCTCTGGTAAGATGAGACCACATGAAAATACTTAGGTTAATAGAAACAGCTTAATATTTAAGACAGAGCTAGCCACTAAGAATCTAGTAACTGGCCAACAACATTATATCTAATACAGAGTCTCTGTGTGTAAATTAAGGCTGATGCAGAGGTGGGCCCAGATCCGCAGGAAAAACTACTCATAAGGTAATGGCTAATTTTCTAGATTTCAATATCGCTTGTCAAGATCTGGCCTATTGTTCTAATTGTGGAAGGATTCCATCCTGACTTGTGGCCTTGATCTGCAATTTACTTATAGCTGATTACATCTCAAAGCAAAAATGTTAACAAAATCAAAACAATAATAAAAAAGTACTGTCATTCTACAAAATCTAAAAAAAAAAAAACAAAAAAACCTTACAATTCACTGAGAATAAAATGTGATGAATCTGAGGCAGCTCTGGCATCCTTCCTCCTCTTGGGCTTGGGTTTCACTGCAGCTTTGGAGAATACACAGGTGCGGTTTGAACTGCATATGCCATTGCTTCAAGAATACAACACTCTGCTTCAAATATCTGATTCAGAATCCAGATTACTGTGGTTGTGGATTGCACTTTTTCTGTATATACAACACCTTTTCTTTTTTGAATTTATATGAACACACTGGTGAAAATACATAAAACAAAAGACAATAACGTTTTTCTTATTGTTATTTTGTAACATTATCATAGTAAACTGATTTGGATAGCATATTGTATTAAATGGAAATTTGGAAATTTAAAAATTTTGTCACTAAAATGACTCTCATGAAACTTATTAAGTGATTTTTGCTTGGCATTATGATAGAATTTCTATCAGTTCCTGAAGTAGCCCTAAACAATCTTTTGCCATTTTGGATTACATGGTTGTTCAAACTGGCATTCTCAGCACTGAAGGCCATTCAATCAAGACAGTAATCTATTGTGACAAATGTTGAAGATGACCTACACATTGCAGTAGTAATATTAAGTCAAGACTTCTAAAACAAGCAAGAATATCATCTCATTAGTGAACATTGCTTTCTTCTTTAATAATTTGTAAAATTTCATGCATATCAAAGAAATGCTTAAAAAGAAATACAGTGTGTTGTTGTTGAATTACAACTTTAAAACATGGTGGTCTGTTACAAGTAGATTTTCCCTGCCGGCCTGGGCCCACCATGGCACCAACCGCAATTAACACACAGAGACTCTGTATTTGATATAATGCTTTTGGCCAGTTACTTGTTTCTTATCGGCTAGCTCTGTCTTAATTATTAACTCATATCTATTTATCTAAGTATTTCCACATGGTCTCATCTTACCGGAGAGGGGGCATGAACCTCTGTTCTCCAGTCTCTCCATGTTGACTCCTCCTTACTACTTCCTCGAATTCTCCTTGTCTCCTAGTCCCACCTATCTTGCTTTCCTATTGGCCAACAGTGCTTTATTCATTAACCAGTATGAGAAACTTATTTACAGAATGGCATCTACCATCAGTGGTCTGATAAGATACAGGGAACTATTCCAATTTTTTTTCTGCTTAAGTTTGTTATGTTGCCTAGTATGTGATCAATTTTAGAAAAGCTTCCATGTGGAACAGAGAAGAAAATATATATTTTTTAATTTACTTTTTATTTTTATATAACATATTGATCCCAGTTCCCTATCCTTCCCTTCCTCCCTCCTTCTTCCCCTTTCTCCCACCCTCCCATGCCCCTGACCACCCTCCCCTCCCATCCACCTCCCACTCCACAGGAAGTGCTGTCAAGTCATTTGGTTTAGGGACTAGGACTTCTCTCCTGTCTCTAGGTTAAGGGAGTATCCCTACATGGGAGATATGCCTCCAAAGTCCTTTTGTGCACCAGGAATACATCCTGGTTCCAGTGTCTGAAATCCCTTAGACTGCTCAGGGCTTCTAGCTGGGACCCATGTTCATGGGGTCTGAGTCAGTCCCATGCTAGATTCCATGGGGGCCCATTAGCTCCTCTTGTTCAGGTAAGCTGTCTCTATGTGTTTCTGCATCCTGGTCTTGTCCTCCCTCTCTGCAACTGGATTCAATTCCACTTTGGCTCAGTGTTTATTTGTGGGTGTTTGCCTATGTTTCTATCAGCTACTAGATGAGGGCTTCATGATGCTGGATAAGTTAGTCATCAATCTCATTATTAGGGAAGGGCATTTATGTCCTTTCCACTATTACTCAAATTGGTAGTTGTGTTTAGTCTTGTAGGCCTCTGGACATTTCTCTAGGTTCACTTTTCTGTTTAAACCTATAATGGCTCCCTCTTATATGTTCTCTCTCTCTCTCTCTCTCTCTCTTTCTCTCTCTCTCTCCTCTCCACTCATCATCTCACCTCTCCTCTCCTCCCTTCTCTTCTCTTCTCTTCTATAAGTGTGTGAGGTTTTATATGAGCTTTGAGTTTCAGTAGTGTTTCTTTTCTGAATGTGGGTGCCTTTGTATTGGGGGCATAGATGTTCAGAATTGAGACTTTGTGGTGATGGATTTCTCCTGTGATGAATAGGAAATGACCATTTTCATCTCTTTTGATTGATTTTGATTTGAAGTCTAAGTTGTTAGATGTTGTTGGTGGTGGTGATATTGTGAATATATTTGCCCTGCTTGATACTTGGGTTCTGGTGAGTAGGATTATCTATTGTCTATGTCTTTGTGAGCATAGTTAACTTCCTTGGGTTGGAGTTTTCCTTCCACTACTTTTTGTAGGGCTGGATTTGTAGATACATATTGTGAAAATCTGACTTTGTTATTAAATATCTTGTTTTCTCAGTCTATAGTGATTGAGGGTTTTTGTTGGGTATAGAACCCTGGGCTGGCATCCCTGGACTCTTAGTACTTGTAGAACATCTATCCAGGACCTTGTGGTCTTGAGAGTTTCCATGGAGAAGTCAGGTGTAATTTTGATAGGTCTGCGTTTATTTGTTACCTGGCTATTTTCCTTTGCTGCTCTTAATATTCTTTCTTTATTCTGTATGTTATGTGTTTTGATTATTAGGTGTAAAGGGGTCTTTGTTCTTTGGTCCAGTCTATTTGGTGTTCAATATGCTTCTCATACTTTTATGGACATGTGCTTCTTCAGATTGGGAAAGTTTTCTTCAATGATTTTGTTGAATATGTTTTCTGTACCTTTGAGCTGGGCTTCTTCACCTTCCTCTATGCCTATTATTCTTAGGTTTGGTCTTTTCATGGTATCCCACATTTCCTGAATGTTTTATTTTAAGGATTTGTTGGATTTAAGATTTTCTTTGGTTGATGAATCTATTTTCTCTTGCAGTTTATCTTCAGTGCCTGAGAATCTCTCCTCCATATCTTGTGTTCTGTTGGTTGTGCTTGTGTCTGTAGCTCCCAATCATTTGCCCAGTTTTTCTATTTCTAGCATTTTTTCATTTCTTCCAATTTTTTTGTTTGCTTTTTCTTCCATTTCTTTAAGGGGTTTTCTCACATTGTCTTTGAAGGCCTCTATAATTTTTATGAAATTTTTTTTAAATTTGTTCTCTTCTGCTTCATCTGCTTTGGAGTGTTCAGGTCTAGTTGGTGTAGAGTCCCTAGATTCTGGTGGTGTCATGTTTGTCTTTCTATTGTTAGGTGTTTTCTTGCATTGCTGTCTTCCCATTGCTTCTTCCAGTGGGTGCAGGTGGGGTTTGCTCTCTCTCTCTCTCTCTCTCTCTCTCTCTCTCTCTCTGGTACTCCCCAGGTTGGCTTAGGTGGGTCATAAGTTTGATGTCTGTAGTTCTGGGTGGTCTAAGCTCTCTAGGAGGTCTCTCCTCAGGCACAGCCCCGCAAGGGGATTCAGATTGTCCTCCAGCAGAGGCCAGGCAATAGGATCAAAGACCGTCCAGGGAGGGACTTAGGATGGTCCCTGTGGATAGGTGGGTCTAGTGTGCTGAGAGCAGATCTAGGAATTTCCCTTGAGCAGAGACCTGGCAATGGGGGGTCAGAGATAGGCAGGTGGAGACTCAGGGTGGTCCTGCCTTGATAGGCGGGTCTAGTATTCTCAGAAGAGCTCCACGAAGTACTCTGCAGATGGCAGGATTGTTGGATCCACTCTCTGTTCCAGTGCTCAACCATAGTAGGGGGGCAGTGGGCTAGGCATGGCACAGGTGGGGGGAGGGCAGGCTTTTAGTGAGGGATGGGGTGGATGTGTATCAGAGCACCAGGAACACTTTCCCTGAGGAAAGGATACAGGGGTGAGTGAGATTCAGGGCCAATCCAGGAAGTTCCCAGGAGAAGGCCTTGGGGTGGATTTAACCTGAACTGGTCCCAGACTCACCTCCAGCAGAGGCCAGGCAATGGGGGTCAAAGATCTGGCAGGCGACTCAGGATGGTCCTGCAGGGATAGGAGGATCTCTGGCAGCACCTGGAGCTCCAGCAGAGGACAAGAAGTGGGGATCAGAGACCAGGCAGTTTTGTATCCAGGAGATCTTAAGTATTTTCCCTTCCAGGGGCCCTCCATATATGTCCCTCTTAGGGCCCCTCCTTTATAGATTCCTCTTTCACACAATATATCCTGACCACAGTTTCCCCTCCCTTCATTCCTCCCTGTTCCCTCCATCTCTCCCCTCTTCCTCAGATTCATTCCTTCTTTGTTTTTTCTTCAGAGAAGAGCAGGTCTCTAAAAGATGACAACCAAACATGACCAAACAAGATACAATAGGGCAAGGCAAATGCCCTCACATTAAGGCTAGACAAAGGCAAAACTAATAGGAGGGAAAGAGTCCCAAGAGTAGGTAATGGAATCAGAGATAAACCCACACCTTCTTTTAGGAGTCTCACAAAATCATCAAGATAACAGCCATAGTGTTTGAAGAGGACCTGGTGCAGACCCCTGCAGGCTCCATGGTTGATGCTTCAGTCTCTGTGAGCCCATTTGAGCCCTGTTTAGTTCATTCAGTGGACCATGTTCTCCTGGTGTTCTTCATCCCCTCGGACTCCTATAATCCTTACTCTCCCTCTTCTGTGGGGCTCCCCAAAGTCTGAGGCGAGGGACCCAATGAAGACTTCTATTTAGACTCACTCTCTGCATGCTTTTCCCATTTCTGAAGGGAGTACAAACTTATACAGCCACTATGGAAATCAGTGCGATGGGTCCTCAGAAAATTTGGAGTCAATCTACCTCCAGACCCAGCTATTTCACTCTTGGGCATATACCCAAAGGATGCTCCATTCTAACACATGCTCAACTATGTTCATTGTGACTTTAATCATAATATCCCAAACCTGGAAACAAACTATATGTCCCTTTACTGAGGAATGAATAAAGAAAATGTGGTACATTTAGGTAATTTTAAAATTTGAGTGCATTTTGATCATATTCTTCCTCTCCTCCAAGTCCATCCAGATTCTCTCCCCTTCCCTACCCACATAATTTTAATTTTTTCTCAAAAAACAAAAACCCAACACAATAAACCTCTCCAATACAAGAAAACAAAACCACCTCCTAGAAGAAGAAACAAACAAGCACCAAAGTATTACCAAATGAAAGTACATACACACACACACACACACACACACACACACACACACACACACACACAGGCACACACACCAGAAACAAAACCAAAGAACTGTGAAGTCCATTATATGTTGTTCAACTACTTTTGAACATAAATTCTTTCCTGATATACCCAGTGTGACTATAGTAGAGAAAAATGATTTTCTCTTCCCAGCAGGAAGAAATTAGACAAGGCAAACTAACAGAAGGAAAAGATTCATAGAGAAAGCACAAGGATCAGAAATATACATATTTGTACCCAGGAATCCCATAAAACACTATTTTCAATAAAAGGAAAAATGTATAAACATCACTCTTTTAAAAGAGATCAGTGGATTAAGTTGTTAATTGGGAATCCCTATGTATGTATTATGTTTAGATGGATACCCTAATATAATTGGAATTTGGATGTCAGATTTAAATATGAATAGTAAACTTCCAGGAGTAAATTTTAGAAATGTTGATATCAGCAATTATGTTAATAATGAAATCACTAAATCGTATAACTCTTAAAACAATGACTAAGACATGATTTGACTTCCTCAAAGAGCATAGAATTCTTTATAAGAAGCCATTAAACATATGGAATGGCAAACAAGAGTTGGCAGAAAGAATCTACAATACCTGTAATGGCTTACACATGAAATGTATAAAGAAACAAATTCAGATTAGACAACCATTATTGTAGTGTATTCCCTATGCAACAGAATGGGCCAGTCCTGTATAGACAGTCTCTAGCTACATGACATGGTGGTTTGAAGAAAAATGGCCCCCAAAGGAAGTGACACTATTAGGAGGTATACCATTGTTGGAGGAGGGGTGTCACTATGGGGACGGGCTTTGAGATCTTTTGTTCAAGGTTTCTTCAGTCTGACTTTAAGTTGATTTTCTGTTGCCTATAGGACTCTGAGTTCTAGCAACATGTCTGTCTGCCTGCTGCCATGCTCCCTATCATGATGATAATGCACTGACCCTGTGTAAAGGTGCCAACCCAATTAAATGTTTTCCTTATAAGAGTTGTCATGACTGTGGTATCTTTTTGCAATAAGACACATGACCATTCTTAAAATTTGCTAAAACAATTTATTCTATTCAAGCCTCAGATATTGAATAGACAGAGCAAGAAAATTTTGATGAGCAATGAATTCTGGAAAGTGTTAATGTCTCTAGTTCTTAGTGAAAATTCATGACAGTATATAATAATGGATGGGGGCTATAAAAGAAAATTAACCACAGAAAATGAAAAGATGTGGATTCCTTCCAGACTAATGTGGCTTGATCATGCCAGACTGCCTGAAACAGAGTACAAGCTGATCCTACATTCAAAACAGCTGGACAAAACAGCCCTACAGACTACAGCCAGGATATCTGAATCTCCTTCGCATCCCCCAAGACAGCGCCCCTTGCCAGCAGGAAGTAGTTTGGAAAGAACAGTGCCCAAATTCCCAAATATTGTGTATAAATGTTTGTTTTCATTTAATTGGACTGTTATAAAAAATTAAATAAAATTAAAAAAAAATTAAAGTTCAGAAGCACAGTATAAAATCAGACCAAAATAAAATAATAACAAAACTAACAGAGATAAAAAGAATGCTTCCTAATGCTGACTTAAGTGAAAACTGGCAAAGCACATCCAAATTATCTGTTAATATTTTTTAGAAATTGATGACTGGTCAATGACTAGTGGTTCCATTATAAGGAATGTTGTGTTAAAAATGTATTCAGGGTAGAAGGAAGAGGGAACTGGGATCAATACATAAAATAAGGAAAAAAAAAAAAAAAACCAAAAAGAACTACAAAAAACAAAACAAAAAAACCAACCAAACAAAAAACCATATTCAGTAATTATTAAAAATATAATAAGGAAGAGTTTGCTCAGAATCTCTCTCTCTCTCTCTCTCTCTCTCTCTCTCTCTCTCTCTCAAACACACACACACACACACACACACACACACACACACACACACACACGACAGAAATCCAACTTTAGTAAATGTAGGTATGTCCATAACAAAGAAACAGGGAGGGAGACAGTACATGCCAACTTACCAAGAAAAAGCATCAGGAGTTAGAAGAATTCCAGTAAAAACAAACTAACATGATATTGAGGACAAGTCAGAGTAACCATACATTATTTAAGGGAATGAGAAAAAGAACCAGATCAGATAGTGGGAATAGTAAAGTGTTATGGGTTACCCTGCTGGTGAGAAGATACAGTATCAATGACTCAGGGCTGACTCTGCTGCATTGTCCTTTCTCCATTGATGTCTCTGGGTCAGATGTCTCCTTGTAAGCAGACTCTGGGTGTAGAGGCAGGCTTGGCTCAGGGAGAATGTACTTGCCTTGCATGCTCATGCAGTCTGGCCTGGTCACCTGCAGCCTGAGTAGACTAGTTGCACTTTCTCCTACAGTAAAGTACTGAGGACCCTGCTGTTAGATTGACTTAGAAGCATGCACTGCTAAAACTTGATTTCCAAATAAGTACATGGAGGAACTTACATGTTTCAGAAGCCTGTATAATATATGATAAAGTGAAGAATTTATGAATGCTTAGGCAGGATAGATAGCTCAAATGCAGGATAGAAGAGATTACATAACCCATAAGTGGAATATACCATCACCGTAATAGAATGCATAAATAAAACTTCATTCTTCAGTACTTTGCATACCTGTGCCCTTTGTCCTGTTTGTGAGTCATGTGTTCATTACCTTTAGAATTTGCTGAAAATCCACACTGTTGCATAGTATCATTTAAGATTAGGGCTTATTCGGGTCTCTGATACTTGATGAAATGTCACGTGAATTTACAAATTTTTCAGGACGTAGTTGACATTTAGGAAAGTAGAACAATATGATCAAATTTACTGTATCTGAAAATATGGTATTAAATGGATAACTCCTTTAGAAAATACTCATAAAATTGTATTAGGTCTACTTTTATCAAGATAAGCATTACATAAGAAATAGAGCAGAAATTATGGCATATAACCCTTATTTTTTTCTCCAGGAAACATTTAATGTTAGCAATACCAGGAACTTACATATTGCAAGAATATCCATGAATCATGAGCATATTCTAGTCAAAACTACCATTAGAAAGACTCACTGGGATCTCTATCCTCAGAATCCAAGTAAGAATTAGTTATATGGGATTTTAATCCCCATTAAAATTCCAGCACAATTCTTCACTGACCTTGAAAGGATAATAATCAAATTTCTATGGAACAACAAAAGACCCAGGGTAGCCAAAACAACCCTATACAATAAAAGAACTGCAGGAGGCATCACCATTCCTGACTTTAACTCTACTACAGAGCTATAGTTCTGAAAACAGCCTGGTAATGGCACAAAAATAGACAGGTAGACCAATGGAATCGAATTGAAAATCTTGATAACAACCAACACACCTATGAACACCTGAGTTTTGAAAAAACAGCTAAAAGAACACAATGGGGCAAGGACAGCATCTTCAACAAATGGTGCTGGCATAATCGGATGATGGTGTGTAGAAGACTGCAGATAGACCCATGTCTGTCGCTATGTACAAAACTTAAGTCCAAATGGATCAAAGACCTCAACATCAATCTAGCCACATTGAACCTCTTAGAAGAGAAAGTAGGAGGTACCCTTGAAGAAATTGGTATAGGATACCGCTTGCTGAACATAACTCCAGGGGCACAGACACTGAGAGAAACAATTAATAAATGGGACCTCTTCAAGCTTAGAAGATTCTGTAAGGCAAAGGACACAGTGGACAAATGGCAGCCCACAGACTGGGAAAAGATTTTCACCAGTCCTATATCCAACAAAGGGCTGATCTCCAAAATATTCAAAGAACTCAAGAAAGTAGTTAACACAACACCAAATAACCTTATTAAAAATTGGGGTACAGAACTGAAGAAAGAATTCTCAATAGAGGAAATCAAAAAGGCTGAAAGTCACTTAAGAAACTGCTCAACATCCTTAGCTACCAGGGAAATGCAAATCAAAACAACTTTGAGATACCCTCTTACTCCTGCCAGAATGGCTAAAATTAGAAACACCAATGATGACTCATGCTGGAGAGAATGTAGAGAAAGGGGAACACTCCTCCACTGCTGGTAGGAGTGCAAACACATACAGCCATTTTGGAGATCAGTATGGCGGTTCCTCAGGAAAATGGGAATTAGTTTACCACAGGACCAGGCAATCCCCCTCTTAGGCATATACCCACATGATCCACATCCATGCAACAAAGACATCTGTTCAACTATGTTCTTTCTTAGCCACATTATTTGTAATAGCAAGAACCTGGAAGCAACCTAGATGCCCCTCAATTGAAGAATGGATAAAGAATATGTGGCACATCTACACAATGGAATACTACTCAGCAGAAAAATATAATGGAATCTTGAAATTTGCAGGCAAGTGGATGGCACTTGAAGAAACCATCCTGAATGAGGTAACCCAGTCACAAAAAGAGGAACATGGTATGTACTCGCTCATA